CCGAAACACCCGCTGCTTCACAACGCTCGCACGGCTCCACACGCGGCACAGTTCGAGATCTTCGCATCCGAGTTGCCCGCTCCGTCCGCACCAGGGCTGGACCCATGCCCGCCACGCCTCGTTCAACTTACCGACCTGCCCTCGCAGTGTCCTGAGATCTCACCCACGCACATCCTCCCTTCCTTCCTCTCTTCCCTACCGCCACCGCAAGTGGCCCTGCATCGCCCTCCCATCCTCTGCGCACGAGTCATCCGATCTCTAGACGCACCCTATTGGCCGCAAAACAGCTACTCGAATGTCAGAGTGCGAGGCAAGCAAGGTGAGTACGTGGGCCTGCATTCCGGACAGGACAGCACTCCCGTCCTCAGTGCAGCCGCCAACGGTTTGACAGGTTGTTGAGGAGGCCTGAACGCACTGCACGGAGGACAGGGGATGTCAGCGAGGTAGCACACCGTGTGCTGTTTGCGCTTGCCGCAGTGGACACTCTCCTTGGTATACCACAGGTTGCTGGACGGCACGGTCGGCAAACAAGCCCGGTCCATGCCCTCCCAACACGACTCGCACCACTCACGCGCCATAGTACACGCTTCTAGCAGCTGGATAGTGCCGCCTGCGTCTCCGGTGCGCTTTGCAGTCTATTGAAAGGTACACCCCTTACTGCTCGTGCACGCCAAATTGTATACTGATCCAACACTCCATAGATCACTCATGCGCGTGCAATCCGCTCCTCACGCCTGTGCCGGAGGTGTCCACTGCCAGCAAATGCGCCCAAGTCTGTGCCATAACACAAAAACCCACACCGCTCACCTTGTCGGTCTCGCGCCTACGAGTCGTCCCTGCGGCGTCGATGCGAGGTCTTTTCGAGGAGAAATACCACTTTCCCGGCGGCGCGTGAGTCGTTTGCATCCATCGCGGAGGCTCCGTAGCTGATATGAGCCTAGCAATCGAGGGCGCGAGGTGGGCAGACATGTCGGTGTCTCGTAGACAAGTTTGATGACTTGGTACGTACTGTGTTTATTGTGCACGCGCACGAGGTTGATTCATATGCCGCCGTAGACGTCTTTTGTCACCGTTGCAACCATCCGCAGACATTCGTAGTGCGAGGACGAAGTGGAATGCCGGAGACGGGTCGCGGAGCAGAACGAAGAGAGCGCGCGAGTGGCTGTTCGATCGCGCGGGCGCTCAGATAAGCGCCAATCTCGCGAAGTGCGTCCGCGGCGGTCTGTTACTGCCTCTCTCTTCCTGGCCTTGTTCACGGCCATTCCCACTCGACGGGTCAGCCTATTTGCTCGTCTACTCTATATTGCGAAGACTCGCAGCCGCTTGACAAACTCACACTCGCATTCTCGTGGTACAGGTGAAGCCTCAAGTCCTACCGGTACCCAGAGCGCCCACAATGGACACGAGCACGCGTTGCTCGGCTGGATTGTACCTCGGTGGGCTTTTTGACTGTCCTGCGGGCACCAAACAAACATGGTATGAACCGTTCTCCCTCTTACCTTTGAATCCCTCGGATAACTGACTTATTTCGAAGTTGCAGATTACGGACCGGGCGTTGCAGCTCGCGTGCGGGTGGTGGTCTTGTTTCTCACTCGCGGCCCAGAATTGCGGCGTGAGGCGAGTTTCAGATCGAGCCCCAGCAAGCGAATCCAGCAGAAGGACGGCGGCGTGAGACTCGCCGGTTTTGAGTTGCGTCCAAATAAGCGCCCGCCAACCTCTGGAAGCGCGAAGTCGTGTCGCGGTGCGTGTGGCCGCTGTTGGCATCTACGAAGATATTCACTCACATATTATCTTATTTATAGTCTTATCCTGGCCGTGTAGAAGCAGGGAAACTCCCTCGACACTGGCAAACACTCTGGCGGTGCAGCCACCGGCCTCGGATGCACGAATGCGGGCACGCAGTTCGCATTCTGGGCGCGCGTCGCCACATGTCACGCTACCTGGAGACGAGCGTCCACTCCAACAATCCAGAGTATGCACCATTCTCTTTTTGCAGGCTTGACGTCCCCGTTGACCAGCCTGGCCTTGCAGATCATGCATTCAGCACCGACGCCAGAAGAATTGAGCCGGAAGATGAGAAATACGAAGCAGGCGCGGGCAGAGGAAGTGGAGTGGAGTGAAGCCGCGACGCGTCGACATCAAGGTTTCTCGATTTCCGGCGGCGTCGTAATAGGCGCCCGTACCCGCGACTCCGTGAAATCGTTTCGTCGGCGGGCAAAGCTCCTCTGCGCTCGTATAACCCCTTGTACAGCCCCGTAATGGTCTCCGCACGTCTACTACTGGATCGCGCGCTGCCCAGGCAGACATTTGCACCCTGTGCGCGGGCGTCTCCCTGCGCTCTCCTTCAGTGCGCAGTACTCGTCGCAGCCGGCGTATCAGACGACTATGAGCTTCCCGAGTGCGCAAATAGGTGAGCTGCGTCTTTGATGTGTAATCATCCACCGACCGCTGTGTTTGCACAGTCTAACCTTCTCTAATTGCCCACGCGCTCGAGCCGGGCGGCGGCACACGACACGGCCCTCGCAGGGCTGCAGACGCGGCGGCGCGGGACTGTGAAGTTTCGAGCTACGTCCAAATAGGCGCCCACGGACCTCCGGAAGGCGAAGTTGTCTCGCGGTGCGTCTGGCCGCCGTTTGCGTTTAGCGACGTTCTTGCTAACCTCGAATTGTCTCTATAGTACCGCGTCTGGCCGTCTTGAAGCGGTCAGACGACTCCTTCGATGCCTGCCCACCCGCTGTCCCATTCTGGACGGCAGAGAATGGATGTGAACCCGTATCTCGCGTTCAGGGGCATTTCCGTGGGAGGAGAACTCTCATGCGGCTCGCGCGCGAGAACGAACGAGCCAGAGTACGTACCGACTTATTTTTGCAGATTTGGCCTTCCCGCTAACCGAGCAGGCCTTGCAGATTGTGTTCTCGGGTTTGAGAACAGGACAGAGGGCAGTCAAACGAGAGAAATGGGCGAGCAGGAACGGCGGAGGTGGGGCGGAGAAGAGCCATGCCACGTCGGCGCACGACTTGCGTATTTCGCATTGCGTCGGAATAAACGCCCGTATCCGCGAAGTCCTCTAGCCGTGGGCGAGCAGAGCTCCTTTGCGCGAACGGGTTCCTTGTGCACGCTCGTCTCGTCTGGGACGAGCAAAAAGGACATTCTAGGTCTCTCTGGGCCCTTTGTGCGGATGTCTTCGTCCTTCCGCTGCTGGCAGACTCTCGGGCGAGCACGAGTGTCCCGTGCACGGCTACGGGACTCGGAGCGCCGTGGCATAGGCGAGTCGGATTCGCCCGCGCGGTACTCTTACGCTAATGTCGATGTCTGCGCAGCTCGCCGCCGTCAACTATGTTCCAACCGATTCAGACGCCTCCACCGACTCGGAGCTCGACACCCTCCCACGCGATTGTTCCGGCCGGCAGCTCGTATGACCGCACGCGGCGTGTCGGTGCTGCCTCCGGAGCACAATCTGCGCCCGCGGCTGTATGCCGTATGTTCCGCGCGCATCACTCGAGAGGTCGCGTTCGAAGTAAATGTGGTATGTACCGCTTCCTCGCCCGCTAATACCGGCGTCCAACTAATTTTCCAGTATTTGTAGGCCGCACGCGAGAGCAGGAACGCGCCGCGCCTCGCCAGATACACTCCGACATCCAGAACGGCTTCGTAGCGTGCAAGAGATCTGCTCGACGTCCCGAGCGCGTCGGAGTCGCGACAACAGTGCGAAGTCCTTAGCACCGCGATCACGCCCAT